ATTATTCATTCAATCATGTTATGAGTTCTTTAAAAGCCTAATTAATTCTAGCAAATAGCATACACAACCAAAAGTCTTTTAACATCAACTCTTCTTCTTGAAAAATCGTGCAAATTTTTTTCGAAATTTAAATTCAATATAAATCTAAATGGAATCTAAATTTAAATCCCCTCCCCCACACTTAAAACTCACATTGTCCCCAATGTAAGATGCAATGCAAAGAAAATGACAAATATAACAAAAAAAATGAATGCGATAAACAAAAAGCTAAAGATAAAAGAATGAACTCCCATTGGTTTGCCTCACAAGAGGCGCTTTTGTTTATTGTCTTTGGCTCGACTCAATGTTTCCTTATTTAGCCCCGGTCCATCACGGTTGGCTTCGATCTTCCTTGCGGTACACCAGTCCACTGGGAATGATAATTGGCAGTGTTCATCCACCTCCATGGAATGCATACTTGTAGTGACTAGGGTGAGGCTTCAAATCTGGAATGAAAGTCTGCAAAACAGAAAGTAGAGGCATCTCATTAGAAACTGGTAATATAAAACAAGAACGGTTACATGACTCTGGAAGATCATTTAATGCTGCCATAGTTCTTTGTAACTCGGTGTTTAAGGCCAACTCCTCTTTTTCCTTTCCAAGATGTTCACTAATGACAGCTTCCCATTCATTTTTAGTATCAAATTCGAAAACGGCATGTGCTAAATAATCAATCACATCAATAGAATAAGCAGGATTATCATCATCCAGATATTTCATGGAATCATAGATATTAAGTTTAATGGTTTTATCGTCAAATTTCATGGTCAGTGTGCTATAATGAAAATTTATTTTAGTTTTGGATGTCCTTAAAAATGGTCTTCCTAATAAGATGGGGTAGTAAGATTATTATTGTCCATGTCAAGCACATAAAAATCAGCAGGAAAAACCAACTCATTAACTTTCATGAGAATATCCTCAACTACGTCCTTAGGATATGCATTATATTTATCAGCTAGTTGAATTATCATACCAGTTTTATTTAAAGGTCCAAGTTTCAAGGAAGTGTATACAGAATATGAGATGACATTAATAGATGCTCTTGAATCTAGCATGGCTTTTTCAACATGGCTTTTTCAAACTTAGTGTCGCCTATCATGTA